GATAGATAGATAGATAGATAGATAGATAGATAGATAGATAGATAGAAAGATAGATAGAAAGATAGGAAGGTGATAAAGAAAAAAGAAAGAGGAGAGGGAGGAAGAGAGAGGAAGAAAGAAGGAAGATAGTCATTATACTATAATGGTCTCTGGTTTTGATTTTTTTTAAATTTTTTAATTCTATAATTATTTTGGGGATCTGGATGTTGATATTGACCATCTAACTTGAGAAAAAATTCTTAAATTTTTTGAGCACAATAAATCTCAGTAAGAGTTCTGGAGTCAGCCGGGCGTGGTGGCGCATGCCTTTAATCCCAGCACTCGGGAGGCAGAGGCAGGCGGATCTTTGTGAGTTCGAGGCCAGCCTGGGCTACCAAGTGAGCTCCAGGAAAGGTGCAAAGCTACACAGAGAAACCCTATCTCGAAAAAACAAAAAAAACCAAAAAAACAAAAAAAAAAAAAAAAGAGTTCTGGAGTAGACCAAAGGTGTGTTTTCAACTTGTTTAGACTAGGAAAGGATGACAGACATCTTGCCATAGTTCACTCTCAAGTCCTAGTATCAGTTGCTTGGGAACTGGCGTCCAGCCCCAGCGTTCTCTGTGTGCACCTGCTGAAGCCCTGCCCTAGATCCTTTAGAAGAGGAGGAATACAAAGACAACGTGCCTCCTGGATAATCTCCACTTTCCCCAGTTTAGCATACATGCTTCAAGGGGTAGTTATTACTAGGTTTTACTTGCTTCGGGGTTTGTAGCCATTTTTACAGTTATTAATAGGTCTCTCTCCCCATCTAGCTAACTGCTAAAACATGTTTTAGTCAACTTGCTTAAAACTCAAGGAGAAATAGCTAATGGTAATGTCACCTGCCTTGATATTAGTGATATGTAAGCTGAAATAAGGCATGGGTGTGAAAATGTCCCTCCAAAAGATATATATTTTGTATTAAATATCATTCTTTCTACTTGCCAAAAGAAAAAAGTTTAAAAAAATTCTCTGGAAAAGCTATTTTTTCTCCTTCTTGATCTGATTATCATAATTCAATCCATAGAGGAAGACCCAGGTGGGAATACATTAACATTTCAATTCGGTTCAAAATAACTTAATACATTATTTTCCACTTTCCTTGGTATGTCGTGGTTGCTGCCCTCTATATTCAATCCCTTTGTAAATAAAGTAGTTCAATCTTATGAAATTCTTTCTGTAATTATAATTACTCCTATTTAATCTTCAGGAAAGACACCCAGTGACCCAATTATTGCTTTACTATGCACCAGGAAGAGGACTACAAGGCCCTTGTAGCACTAGGGAGCTCAGTCGGATTCATGATCCAATTGACTCATAGAGAAACATTTCACATAGAGATGGCTGAACATGTGACCAAAGAAAGCATGCACATAAGAACAGTATTAAATATATCATGTGCTGGGAGGTGGCAGCGCACACCTTTAGTCCCAGCACTCTGGGAGGCAGAGGCAGGCACATCTCTGAATTTGAGGCCAGCCTGAACTATAGAGTGAGTTCAAGGATAGCCAGGGCTACATAAAGAAACCCTGTCTTGAAAACAAAAAGGAGTGTGTGTGTGTGTGTGTGTGTGTGTGTGTGTGTGTGTGTGTGTGTGTTTATATGTTCTTGGTAAATCTATATTCCTGCTATATTTGAGTCATAGATTAAAAACATAAATAACTGGTCAGCCTTTCCAGATGTGTTTTAAGACTGACAAATCCTTCTGCATTCAAGGATAACAATGCCACATAAATGCAATAACCAGTGGGCAAAGAGTTTGTTGAGGTGAACTAGGTCCATTCATTTTAACCTCCTTTTCCACAGTAATTCAAGCTGTACCAACGATTTTCTGTTCTTTGAAACAGGTCCATAGATTCATTTTTTTTTTTAAATCTGTAAGAGGCCATCCCCTGATAACCTTTGACCTCAGCTGTTTTGTTCCCTGCATGAGAATGAGCTAACTGTAAATTCCCAACTCTAGACAAAAGCTGGGGTTGTAGTGCAATTAAAGAGTTTGCCTAGCATGAAATCTGGGGTTCTATCTCCAGCACTAGGAAGAGGAACAAAACAGACATAAAACCCCCTTCCCATCCACAGAAAAGGGTTTCCCTGTGCTTTCTGGAAAGGGGCAGGATGGGGTTACCATAATAGCTCATCTGATTTAGTTCTGTAATTTTTCCTTTAAGAAAAATGTTCATTCTTCTTCAAAAGGAACTAACGTCCAGCATGCTGGGCAAGCATCATCTATAGATGCAAATGACATAGAAGACTATAGCCTTGGGTCCTTAATGGTATTTTATTCACAGAAAGGAAACTCGGAGCCATAAAGAGAGAGAAGAGAAACCCAATATTCTCTGATGTTTGTGAGACTCGAAGTACAAAGTTGCTCTGAGCGTGTGGCCTGCTCCACAAGGAGCAGCATAAGGAGATCAATACAAGATCAGCCGAAAATCAAAAATTCTGAGCCCCAGGAAGCCAAAGACAGCCAACCACATGGAGTCACCAACAACTCAAAATCCAAATGACAAATGTCCAGGAGTAGATTGCATAAAACTTTTATTTATTAGCAGTGTATTCTTCTACACTTCAAAATAGAACAAAATATCTTCTGGAAGATAGACTATTCATAACAAAATACATGGCAAACAATTTTTATTATAAGTGGAGAATCTCTCTGCTATATAATCTCTATATTATATACATCCCCTCTTGGTGTGCCTTATGCATGTACATGTGTATAAATAAGCTTAAGACATACACATGTAGATACATAGGACATACATACACACAGAATTGTGGAAAATTTACAGTAGTCAACTTTACAATCATTTTAGTAGCTGCACTCGTTAGTGTTCATAGAACAACTAAAAATGATCATATGGTTCTCTTCCCCAACATCTCAAATGTTGCCTCAATTACTTTTCAATGATAATTTGAAAGAAATAGTATTCTCTTTCTATACAATGAACCAACTTTTTAGAATAATAACTCATAGTAAAATATTTTACTTTTCAACTTTAGAAAAGATATACAATTTAATTCCTCTTTGTTTTTTATTCTAAACACATATAATTCAACTTTCCATCAGGTGAGTGCAATTATTTGGTACTGCAGTTATGGGAAATTATGCTAACACACCTGAGTTAAACATTCATTCCAATGCCTTTTCAAAAGTGTAAAATGTGAACAAGGTGTCTTGCTGAAGCATATATACTAGTCTGAAGATATCACCTCCTAATAAATACATTATAAATAACTCAACAGTTGGAATAAAGCACTTTGCATGAATCAGTTTAACTAGGCTTTACCCATTCTCAAGCAGCCTGGAAGAGAATCGGTACCTAAGACTCTCTCATCTCATATGGACAAGAAGCCAATAGGCTTCTGGAAACAAATAGAGACTCACACTTACATGAAAGGGCTGAACGTACCCTTGAGGGCCCTTTCTCTCTGACATTAGTTCTAGACAGACCCGTGTGTACATGTGGGGAGGTGCTCCATTAAAATAACTCCTTTAGTGTACAGATCTACTTAGCAGCATTTTCTCTGGCTTATTCCTTCATTGCTTTGAAAATGACATCAGACCATGCATGCTTACAAGGCAATGACCACCTCGTACCCAAAGCAGAATGTTCTGAGTTATTAACTCTCTTGAAGGGCTGTTTTTTGTTTGTTTGTTTTTTGGTCTTTAACAGCATTATTGTACATTTACTGAGAGTGTTCTCACAAACCGTCGACATGATTCTTAAAATCCATATCCTTCCTTTGCCTATTTACAAGAAGGTATAAGCAAAATAGATGGTTTAAGGCATTTTTTTTAAAGCACTCATGAGAGGAGGAAAGAAATAAAAGCATTTGGAATGTTCTGTCATTTCACAGAGGAAAAAAAAAGTCATGCTTTCAGGAGAGACTCACAGCGATTTCTGGTACTAAAGAGATGCTAAAGTTTTTTCTTTTTTTTAAGCCTCCTACTCAAAAGGTTCAAGCAGAGAAACAAAGGGAAGGTTTTTTTTCCTAAATAAACCCTCTCAACATCCCCACTCTTGGTCGAGATGAATTTGGATGAACTCCAGTTCAGGCAGACTTCAGCAGAGAATGCTCTGATCTATTGGACTCACGGGGGAGCATTAAAAATCACTTTCTAGATACGTGCTCCCTCACTTTCACTTAATAAGGAAGAATTATTTACTCTTTGTAGACAAAACCATACTAAAGCTAAACAAATTTAAAATACAAATTTTTTGGTAGCAAACAGCAGGAAAGTCTAAATCAAAATATAGTCTAGCTTTTACATAATCTGATGTACTTATAAAATTATCAAAATAGTCTTTTATAAAGTTCATGATACGTATATAGTGTAACACTGTACATGTAAATGCAGTAACAAATGCATTACCGAAACACATTAAAAATAACCTTTTAAAATACCAAATTCAACATTAAAACTGTCTTTCCAGGCATGGACACCTCCCTAAACAGCATTACAGTGCATCTGTAGTAGTCGCTAGCCAGTGCTCTGGTCTCAAGTCTGTCCACAGTGCTATGTCTAACACTCTTTAAGGTAAGAAGACAGAGACATCCTCCGGGCGAACAGCCGTCCCCTCCACACTGCACGTCCTGATGTCTCAGAGTGGAACCGCCTTCACTGGTGTGGCAAGGCCTTAGTAATGAACATATTCAGACTGAAGGGACTGTGTAAGGAGAGACATAAGCTGAGGTTAAATTCCATCACACATAAAGCTGCTAAAACGTCATACAGCCTCCGCCTTCGACACGAGGCAGTTCAGGTCTGTTATATAAAAGACACATGAAATGAACCAAGGAAGCCAAGGAGAAGGGAGAGAACGCCTTTACTAAGAAAGCGAGACACTGGGTTAGGTAGAGTGATTGTTAGAAAACCTTCTCATTTCAAAAGACTTAATAATGTTTAATTGTGATTACAATCAAGAAATAATTGAAAGTAAAGGTGTGGCATCAATTTGATTCTCGAGCCTTAGAGTAGAAATATTGACTCCTACTCAAAAATATTAAATGATAGTTATAACTAATTGAGAGCTGTTAGAACAAACTTTGGATTTTTTTTTTTTTTTTTTACTTAATACACATAAGTGGCATGTAAACATTTATCAAACAGAATTAGCGGTCACTTAAATACAGTCCTTACGAATGCTTGAGTTTCATAAACCTTATAAATCCTTTCCATTACGGGAACAAAAAGTACAACTAGCTCTGGACTCTGATCTGAGGACCCAAAGGCATGGAGAGCACAAGGGTCCTGTGACGACTTCACAGCAGGTAAGCGCGGGTGACAATACACATCCTTGCACATTGACTTGGACACAGATATAAGAGGAGCATGAGGGGCATGCGTCAGAGTGCCAGGACAGCAGACACAAACCCCAAGAGGAGCGAAAGCAGCGGGAAGCTCAGCAAAGCTGTTTTTGAGCAGCGCATAGTGGTTAGCTACACAGAGGATCCAGACTATTCTAAGCATTAACAGCCCTTTGTGTGGTTCCCCTCCTCAAATACCCAGAACGACAAAGACTACTTGGTTCTCTACAAGACCCTTTCTTTTCTCACAATAATTTTTCAAACTGACCTGCAGTGTTTTGTTAACAGGATGTATTTTATCAATAGATCACACTGATTTCAAGACTGGTCCAGTTTGGTGATGGCATAACTATTAGTCTCTCTCTCTCTCTCTCTCTCTCTCTCTCTCTCTCTCTCTCTCTCTCTCACACACACACACACACACACACACACACACACACACACACAGAGTCACTTACTTTCCAAAGAACTTAGGAAAACACAAAACCAACAGTTCAGCTTCAAAGTCCCAGGAAACTTTACTCTGTATCAATAGCCATTTACTAAACATTTTTAACCCAAATTAGCAGTTATGGTCCTTATTCACAAAGGGCAAAACCCACTGTCATAACACAGGAAATAAAGGTGGAGATATTTCCTTAGTTAGATAGCAATGTGCACAGTGTAAAACTGACAGTGTGTACTACTAGCAAAGGACAGGAGGAAGAGAAAAAGGGGCCGTTTTCTGGGCTAAAAGAGGCTCAATGGTCAAGAAAAAGGAAAAGGGGAAAAGGTCTTCTCAGGTTAACTTCCTTGATTTGGATACGGTTTATAGCCAAGCTTCAAAAGAGCAGGGAGATGATAAGAATCACGCACCAGAATGTAAGTAGAGGGAATGTCCTGTGGGGTGGGCTAATGCCATCAACCCCGAGTGCTTTCAGCTTGTGGGACAGCAGCTGCTGTATTAGTAATCACTCCCCTGCTGCTTTCCCCCATGTCTCCTGAAGTCTGGAAATGAGTCAGAGGCACAGCCAGTGAAGTGTCTCCCTGGCAGCAAGGTCACCCCACACCTGCACATGACAGACACTGTGCCTGTTCTGGGATGTTCAACTTGTGCTTTTGCTCCAATTAGAAAAGTTGCAAATGCTCTCACTAACAGAAATCAGAAACTCCTTACACAGCGTGCAAACTCACAACACAGTTGTGTCTGCAAGCATCTCTTAGGGCCTCGGGGCTTCGTCAGTCGCCAATCAGTGCAGAAAACAGCAAAGAGCAGTCAGGTGACTAAAACTCCCTTCAGACAGCAGCGTATGCCGTGAACCTAGGTGTGTGTTCATAGTTTTAATTTCCTAACTCCCTGATCTGGAAAACGGAAGTAGTTTAGAATCCCGCAGGTTTCTGTTGCTCACACGAGGTATATATTCACTGGTCTCCTGACTAAAGCTTTTGCTTTTGCCTTGCCAAGTCCACAAACCCTGCGATTTGGTCCAGCTTCAAATACAGTCCTCACAGTCCCTCCTGCCTCGTGTTTTCCACACTCAGCTTGCTCTCACGGTGCTGAAATGGCTCTGCAGATCTTTGCAAACAAATTTGGCTAAAGCGGGAACCTTTTGTCCTGCCAGTTCACTTGTTTGACAAACAATTATAGATATATCAGGCAGCGTGGGATGAAAATGCAACACTAAGTTTCGAGGAACAAATCATACCCCATGGTTTCTTTCTTCATAGGGTACAAGGAAAGTTATAAAATAAAATAAAAAAGATCAGTAAAAAATGTGCTTAGCAAATTATTGCAACTTCAGTATTTTGTAAGAAATTAACTTCCTTTTATTCTCAATGTAAAAATAAAACTCTTGAATGAAAAAGACTAAAGGGGAAAGAGAAACACCAGCGTCTACAAGATCTGCTGACTTCAAGAAACCACAACTAACACTTTCAAGGCCTTTTATCTGGGGGAGGAACAGTATAGGGTGAGAGAAACAATGGATTCCAAAGCACTGCATGCCTGCAGAATGAGATTAGGTTCATGGGCCTGTGCTCAGCCGGGAAGACCCTGAAGAAAAGCGTCATGTACGCTACATGTGGTATCTCAGCACAGACGATGCATGCCCAAGCCTCCTTAGCTGACAGCGTAACTGGATGCACGCCGTAAGGAATCATGACTTCAGGCTTCTTGCACAGACACTAACAGGACTCCCAACTGTACAGAATGACTTCTAACTGTCTATATGCCACAGAAGTACAAGCCAAACTCCAAAGGCTTCGAACTCTACAAACGAGCAGACATAAGCAAACAAACATCGCACAGTGACCTCATATGACGGGTACAGTCAACACACAGGCACAAAAAGCAAACCACAACAAAAGTGCAGACTGCTACCTTCACACAATAGCCACAGAATGTATAGCAAAAATAATCCCGTTATATCCAGACCCCATTCCTTGTGTGTGTGCGCGCGCTCGTTCGTGCGTGCATGCATGTGTGTGTGTGTGTGTGTGTGTGTGTGTGTGTGTGTGTGTGTGTGTTCAGGTGAGTGGTGTTCAACCGGTACTAATGTAACAAAGATAGCAACCAAGTTACTAGATTTTTAATTTTTATAATAAAAATGTGCTTTGTATTTGAAAAACACTATCATTACTACCATTAACTTTATTAAACCAGATGAAATAGAAACTATTTGGAGTTCTTAATAATGAGATACATTACTTGCAGGTCATCTATTCTGAGAGACTTTTCTAGATGTCGGACACAGTTTAGACACCTTTTATGTATTTACTCATTACATCCTTCCTACCACCCATTTCACAGACGAGGAAATTGGGGCACATAGCAGTGAAGTTATTTGCCCCAGATCACTCACAGAGTCTGAAGCCTGGAAACCCAGCAAACATTGGTCCTGTAATCATTACTTACCCCGTGTAACAGGCTCTTCCACCCCAATGAGAACCAAGTTATATAAATTACAAAACAGATACCATATGTGTTACAATAAAGGAGATAGTAGAGTTTAAAATTCTTTTTCCTCAGAACTGAGTAAAAACAAATCACTCTAAGAACATTCACATGGCCAGATGTGGTGGCCCACACCTTTAATCTCAGCATTAGGGAGGCGGAGGCAGGAGAATCTCCATGAATTAGAGGTCAGCCTGGTCTATGCAGTGAGTTCCAGATCAGCCAGGGCTACACAGAGAAACCCTGTATCAAAGGCAAATCTACACTTCGAGTATTCTGGGTAAATAATGTTTTAATTCTGCTTGGACAGCATTTTGGGTTTTTTCCCCCCCAAATATTTATGCCAATATTTCTAAAATAAATAAAGACCATGATGAAAATAATGGAGATGATCATAAAAGGTAAAAATCATTTTAGGTTCACATGCGTTCACATAACCGGCACATTTAATCTGGAGTTCACTTGGTCAATAAATTCCATGGGGCTCTCAGACCAGATCAAGTCCATTATAAATGCAAGGCACTTCACTGTTCTAGTATGGATACCACAAAATAATGCAGCAATATTAGACCTGGGGAACAAGGGTGAAATTAATTGCTTGGCATTTTCAGCCTCCAAATGTTCTATGTCAAAATATAAGCTTCCACCCAGAAGCCCCATGCCCTAAAACGTTTTTTTTTTTTTTTTTTTTTTTGGTTTTTCGAGACAGGGTTTCTCTGTATAGCTTTGCGCCTTTCCTGGAACTCACTTGGTAGCCCAGGCTGGCCTCGAACTCACAGAGATCCGCCTGGCTCTGCCACCCTAGTGCTGGGATTAAAGGCGTGCGCCACCACTGCCCGGCATCCCTAAAACGTTTGATGTAAAACAAAGTGTTAGGTAAAGAGATCAAGACTGCTTGTTCTGATCTGGAAACTCACTACCAATCTGTTTTGGCAGATGTACGTATTAACTTTAAAGTTTTAGCTCTCCTGGGGGTGTTTCTTCCTCAAGCCGCACAGCTACTCAGTCAAGGCAAAAAATCGCCTCCTAATTATAGATACACTTACAGTACAGACGGTTAGTAAATACAACTGTACGCCGGCTGTCAAGAGCAACAAATGAGAAGAGATGATGGAAGATGAGCATCTTGACAGCAGATGGGTAAGGACGTGTCTACTGTTCCGATGGTTTCACTAACAGCTCTCAGGGTTAGCCCCTCAGGGAGTCAGAGCTGTTTCTGGAACCCTGTGCAGCCTTTTGCTGCCCTGAATTTCTATTTCTCTATTTCCCCGAATCTCTTAAGAAAGAAAAATGTGGTCTCTTTGTTATCCCCAGTGTGAATTCCAACTATAGAGGCAAAAATGAAACAAAAAAATAATTTAACATTTTAGGTAATTAAGAAAGCTATGTATTTGGTAATGGGGGGTTTTATTCATACTCTAGCATCCG